GAGAGATGTGAGAATAATGTACTGACATGATTTAATAATTTTTTTTTTTTTTACAACAGAAGTTTGAAAAAAATTATGATTCTTTCTGTTAAAAAATAAAAATTGAAACTAAAAATTAAAATTAAAAAATTAAAAATTGGCGAATCTTCGAGAGGAGATTTGACAAACGGAGTTTGTAGTTTCAATTAGTACTCAATTAAGATTAAAAAAAAAAAACTGTTTAACTTGGATGGAATTGCAATGTTTAATCTAACTGTCTCTCTTCCAAACAAGCGAGGGTGGCGCTGGGCATAATTTTTAGTCGAGCGGAATGAGAGGAGGTCGAATTACTTTCTACGAGGTCATACAATGCGAGCCGCCTTTCTTGAAATAGGCGGCTGGGGCTGTTTTTATTAACGTACGAGAGAGGGGACACGTAAGCGGCTTACGTCCTGCAATTAAAATATTTCTTTAAATACCCATCGCTCCCGACGTCCCTATTGTGGATGATTGAAGCGCGTATTTAAATCGCGGCTCGTTATACGCGACCTTTGCGCGAGATGGAAGCGCACGTAAGTGGCGCGAAACGAATCGATTCGCGATACTATCGTCGATTTCTCTCGTCGAATCCTAATTTACGTTTTCTCCCCTTGGGAACTTTTTCTTCCTTGAAAATCCAGCGGTGTACTTCAGAAGATTTCCACTTCAATATGGCGGAGTATTAATTTAAATTTGAAATACGTTTTAGAAATTTTTCTAATTTAAATTATAACAATACCCTCCCCCCCCCCGACGAAATTATGATAAATTACGTATTATTTAAATATGCTTTGTCATAGTGACCAGGTCTTTTATTTCAACCCTCCCCGGAACGCCAACTAGTTTGATTTACTGATAATCTTTTTTTTTTGGGCTGTATATCTCCTTCCTTTCCGGGCAATTTTTACAAAGCCACGAGAGTGTTTACGTGCACACGCTTGTGAGAAGGATCTTCGTTTCCTTACAAATTCTCCTAGTTTAGGGGGTTGGTTGGCTTCGCGAAAGCGGAGCCGATTTCGGCGAGGCGCGCGGACGGATATATCCCCGGTATCGTCGAGACGTGACGTACTTACGGGAAAAAAATCGGCGCAACGAGAAGAATCTTCCGCTCGTACTTGCAGATTCCTCCTGGGAGACGACTCGCGAGGCTACATTCGCGAAGCCAATTTGCCGGAACATTAGACGCAGACGATGTTTCTCCGGATGTCCCATTATTGACACTCTCTTGCCATGATCCACCATTCAATATCGATATTTAATAGAACTTACATTGTATTGCAGCTTTAAGCATAATTTTTTCATCTCTCTCTCTTTTCTTTGAGAAAAAAATTTCTTTATTTCTCTCTTCGCTAAAAAAAAA